GGAATAAGCCAGAAAAGGGGGGCGGAGAGGGGGGAATAACACCTTAAACCGACGCTGGAGGTGCAAAAACGCGGGGCGAAGCTCTGCGCAAACGGCCCGGCCGGCGCTGCCCGTTCCCGGTGCCCCCGCCCCGTCCCGGCTCCGCTGCTCCCGGTGCCCTCCCCGTCCTGGCGCCGTTTTCCCGTCCCGCGGAGCCGCCCTTGCCCCGGGGGCGGCCGAAGGGGCGAGCCCCGATCCCGGCCCTCTTTGCTCGGCGATGTCAGGATTAGGAGCCCTACATATTTTATGGGAACCTCTCCATGATCTCCCCTTATCAATCATTTAAGCAGGAGGCTCTTTTCTTGGTGTGCGATATAAAATATTTAGCAGCGTGGATGAAGCTGCTCAGCTGCACTCCCCCCCACCAACACCAGCAGGAACGAGGGGAGACTCCCCGAATCCTGGGGATCAGGGTGGGAGGGAAGAGGGGGTTCCCCCTGCCCCGAACCCTGGATCCCAAGTCCCCCGTGCCGGAGCAGAGGGACCTGGAGCTGCTGCAGTCCTTCCCACCGGCTCTGTGGCACAGCAGGGGTCACAGCAAGAGACCTCGGCTGTGTCCAGCAGCCCAAAAACGCTCCTTGCAAATCCTGTGGCCGATACCAGATCCGCACCCCGGCTGCCTGGTTCTATGGGAGCAACGGCCAGGAAGGGCCAGCGAGCTGGGAGGGAATGGGCTGGAACTTGCCTGGATCAAAATTCCCCCAGCTGATCCACCAGGATCAGGATCACTTGTCCTGTGGAGTGAGCAGCAACTCAGGCTCCATCCACAGCTGGATCAGGCTCCGCCGCTCGGATCAGGCCTCGCTTCCAGGATGGGTGGAGGTCCTGAGGTCAGAGCAGGATTTGTTCCCATAAGCCACCAAGATTCCAGTCCTGGATATCTGGAATGAAAGCCAGTGATTGAGAGGGACTTCAGCGCCCCAACACAGAGATGCTGGAGCACAGGGGGAGGCAGCTGTGGGATGCAACACCACCCCTGCCCCAATTCCAAGAGCAGCAGCGATGTCAAATTGGTGCTGGAGGAGGCTGGGGCCCATAAAAACCCATTTCAGACACCAGCAGCCATCCGTGACGCGCTCCGACCCTCGCGGGCGCCCAGCTGCTCCGGACAATCTCGCGCCCGGCTGGGTTGAGCTATTGGTGCAACTCACTGCGTCCCAGGACCACAGCACCTGCAGGAGCCAAACAAGCCCTTTTGGCCTTTAAACCCCCCAGCCTCTATTAACTAATTACTAATGAGGATCTGTCTCAGCTGTGCGACTGCGAGTTTGCTAATTTTTATCTCTGTATTTCCAACCCCAAATGTTGAAAGAACCATGAGTCAGGTTGCCAAAAGGATCAGGATAAACCTGGAAAGGTTTTTTTTCCTGCCCGTGAGGCTGTGCTGGGCTCAGTGCCGGTGCCCAGCTCCTGCTCCGAACCTTCCCACCACGGCAGGATGCTCCTGCTCGGTCAATCCTGGCAAAACTCACCAGAACTAAACACACATACACAAAAAAATAGCACTTAAAAGGGAAGGGTGGGCGGGCAAGGGAAAACGGAGGCCAGGCACAGTCCTACGGCAGCGATGCCGGGGATGCCGGACCCTGTGTACGGCCCCGAGCGCTGCCTCCCTTAACAAAGTGCCATCAACAATTGCATATTAATTACCTCGATAGCCACTGTTGTGCACGAGGACGATAATTAAGCGCTTCCCACCACGAGCACATGCCTGGCAGAGCCGCCCGGCAGCGAAGAGGCAGGTCTCCCAAGCAAGGCACTCGCACGACATTTACTTTTATTTTATTATAAAAAAATACAGACTCCAGACCGGGGGGGATGCGGTTGGCATCAGCACGACGTCGGGGACCACAGCGGCGAGTCTACGGACAAAGCGGGGCTGCACGGAGACCACGAGCACAGGCGAAACCACGCAAACCCCCCCAACCCCGCGCCCGCCCGCACCCCCGCCGGCGCCCCCAGCGGCACCCAAGCGTTTGCTTCCTCACTTGCTTTTTTTTTTTTTTTTTCCTTTTTTTTTTTTTTTTTTTTTTT